TGAGGCTGTCTGCTCCCAGGAAGATTTATAGTCTCAGAAACCCTAGGGAGGTTTGCTGTCAGTTGGAATCAACCTGAAAGCACCATGGGTCTGTGTTGTTGTTGTTGTTTAAGGAGCCCAGGGGGAGTTGGGCTGCTAACCAAGAGATCAGTTGCTCAAACCCACCAGCAGTTCTGAAGGATGAAACTAGCAACTTATTTCCATAAAGATGTAGTCTTGGAAGCCCTTGGGAACTCTGTTCTATAAGGTCACTGTGAATTGACTAGATGGCCTGAGATTAGGTTAAAGTGTATGATTTGTAACCAGAGAACTTTGAAAAAGATTTCATAATTCGAAGTATCAAAAACAATGTTAAAATGATGCATGACTTTGACTTTCTTATCATCTTAATACAAAAATATCTTTGTGATTGCATATTCTTAGCTTTTTTCCTGAGCTTTCTCCTGTCCCCTTTTTCCTATTACGTCCCAGTTAATTTTATACTGAACAGGAGAGATAACCTGTTTTCTTTAACCTTGAGATGAAACTTTTTGTATTCATTAATGTAAAAATAAATAGAAGGAATGTTATAATTGGTATAGTAACGTTCATGAGTTTGAAATACTCGTCCAAAGTCTGAGTATATTTAAAAGACTGTACCACCAAAGCTTATTAAATTTTAAAATCTATAAGCCAGGAACAAGCGTACTTGTGAATGGCTGTTTTATTCCACACACACACTTCACTCTAAAAACAAACGTGTTTTAAGTGGTATCCTCGGCTCAACTGTGGAGCCACAGTGGCATAGTGATTACTTGTTGGGTTGTGAGTCAAAGGATTGGCAGTTGAAAACCACCAGCAGCTCCTAGGAGAAAGAGGGGCTTTCTACTCCGGTAAACAGTTAAAAGTCTCAGAATCTACAGGGGCTGTTCTACCTGGCCCTATAGGGTCACAATTAGTCCGTATTGACATAATGGCCCTGAGTTTGGTGCTGAAAAAGCTTCCCAGCATTTCATTATACCATCACACACACCTTCCCTCTCCAACTCCACTGGATTATGTAGAAAACAACCTCAGTCATAATATTATTCAGAAATGTTTCTCTAAAAAGACATTTGGGGAGGAAAAGAAGCCACATTGCCAATCATGAAAGTAAATATTCCATTAGGAACCTGAACAAGCAAATCTCATTTCCAACCACATTGTGACTTAAATCTTCTACTTAGCACAGAAAGTCTGCCCATCATGTCTGGTCTCCCGCCCACTGTCTTCTGAGCCTGTTCTTTATTCTCTGCCCATTTAACCTGCGGCTCTCAAAGTTTGACTCAATTCCTGCTTTTTTCTTGGGATCTTTCCTGACTTGTCCCTTTGGACAATGTGTATATATTGTGAGGTTGGCTCAGGTGTTTTACCGTGAGCTGCTACATAGTTTTTTTGAGTCTGTGACCTAACAGGAGAAAGATGAGTCTTCGCCCATAAAGAGTTAAAATCTCAGAAACTCACAGGAGCCTTTCTACTCTGCCCTTTGGATTTAGTCAAAATGGACAATGAGTTTGTCTCGTTTTCCACTGTAACTCCTTTAGAACTGCTGAGTGCCTCCATTGTCTCATTTACGCGTGTAAATACTAACCTCTACCTCAGATGCACCAGGATAAAAAAAGAATACAGAACGAATGCTCTCTGACTGTCAGTAATTGTTGTTACTGTTAGCTGTAAAATCCTCAAAGGAAAAAAATCATGAATGTGCCTTTTTAACATCCCCCAGCATCTGGCTTCATGCCCCAGACAGCCCCAGATATATTCGTGCCTGTTCAGTCATTCTGTCTAGGGTTTCATTTGATATTACTAAGTATTTATTAATATACATTTATATTTGTCAAAACATAATGGCATTCGCGAGATAAGCTCTGTAAGATAGTTATTTCTGTCCAAAATTGATCATTAGTTAATTTTTAGATGTCTTCCATGGTGTAAAATGTGTATCATTTGCTTTGAGATGCAAAATTGAAGCTCTGTTTAATTCAGACAAAAGGCACACTAAACTTTACCCTTGCTGGCTTTATGAGATGAACCCTGGTGACACTGATGGGTGACTGTTGGACTATTGGCCACAGGTTGGTAGCTCTGACCCACCCCCTCGCCTCAGGCGAAAGATGAGGCAGAGAGGTGATCTCATGAAGAAGAGTTCTATGTAGAAAAACAAGTATTAAAATTGTTATTGCTTATCATCTTTGTTTACCATTTTCAAGCCATTAAAACGTTTATCATGAAAACTCCCAAAGAGTTGGGAATTAGGTAAAAGCCATGCAAAGACAAGCACCATGTCCCCCCTTACTTTACATATAGATCGATTTTACACACTCAATTCAAACTCATAGTGGCCCTATGTAGAGTTTCCAAGACTTTAAATGCATATTTACAACAATCTCATTGGAACCAAAACCAGTAGTTACCAGTCCAACAATGGCCACCTGGGCCATAAGAAATAATGGCTGTGAAATCTGGTGTCATTGAGAACATTAGTAAATACCCTGTGTGTGTTTTTAATCATTTATACACATTCGTTATGAAAAATGTAGAAGGTTTTAAAAAGGATATGTGATTTAATTTTCTATGGCTCTATTTGTTTAGTATTCTTGTTCATGTCTTTTTCTTATAGACATCAGAATCGTTTGTCTCTTTAAAGTTAGGACTCTTAGTCCTAACTGTATGCAAGTGTTTTAAGTTACCTCTAGGAAGAGACTTCAAAGATTCTTGGAAGAATTGTTTTGTCTTTCTATTCTATGCTTCCATGAACTTTTTGAAGCCTCTTTGTATATTATAATGGACAGATTATTCTCTAATATATGTGTAGTGATATTGCTAAACTTTTTTACATCTTTGTTTCAACTATCCTTTACTGAACTCCCACTGTGTGGTGAGGAGCCCTAGTGATGTAGTAGGTTAAGTGTTGAGCTTCTAGCAGCAAGTTCAGCAGTTCAAAACCACCAGCCAGTCCATGGGAGAAAGACACTTCTTACTACTTCCAGAAAGAGACCCACCCAGGGCAGTTTTACTCTGTCCCACAGGGTCTTTTCTATGAACTGGAATAGACTAGATGGCAGTGATTTGAGAGTGTGGTAAGCACGTAGTGGAAAGGAGAGAGTTTCTGTGAAATAGAGGAGGTAGAGAGGCCACATAGGTTAGAGGACGTTGGACCTTCCTAGAACCAGGTGACCCTCGAACTGAAAGTTGAACACACCATTTTACTTTGACTGGAAACATGATTTCTTGCCATTTGACTATAGAAACTGAACAGCTTCCTGATTCCTGTGTTAACATTTTAACTTTTGGAGTTAAGGTTGAACCACTAAAGAATGAGTAACTGTTAAGGTAGCAGATGGACATTGGACCTCCATTCAAGTACTTACTCAATGCAAGAACACTTTGTTCTATTAAATTGGCCTTCTATGATGAACACCTTCCAGACACATCGTTGAAGACAAATGTGTGCATAAGCAAATGTGAAGAAAGCTGATGGTGCCCAGCTATCAAAAGATATAGTGTCTAGGTCTTAAAAGCTTGAAAATAAACAAGTGGCCATCTAGCTCAGAAGCAACAAAGCCCACAGGGAAGAAGCACACCAGCCTGTGTGACCGAGATATCGAAGGGATGAGGTATCAGGCATCAAAGAACAAAAAATCATATCATTGTAAATGAGGGTGAGTACAGAGTGGAGATCCAAAGCCCATCTGTAGGCAACTGGACATCCCCTTACAGAAGGGTCACGGGGAAGAGACAAGACGGTCAGGGTGCAGGGTAGCAATGATGAAACATACAACTTTCCTCTAGTTCTTAAATGCTTCCTCCCCCACCCCTCACTACCACCACTATCATGATCTCAATTCTGCCTTACAAATCTGGCTAGACCAGAGGATGTACACTGGTACAGATAGGAACTGGAAACACAGTTAATGCAGGACAGATGAACCTTTCAGGACCAGTTCTGAGAGTGGCGATACCGGGAAGATGGTGTAGAAAGGGAGAATCCATCACAAGGATCTACATATAACCTCCTCCCTGGGGGATGGACAACAGAAAAGTGGGCGAAGGGAGATGTTGGACATTGTAAGATATGACAAAATAATAATAATTTCTAAGCTATCAAGGGTTCACGAGGGAGTGGGGGACAGGGAGGGAGGGGAAAAAATGAGCTGATACCAAGGGCTCAAGTAGAAAGCATATGTTTTGACAATGATGATGGCAACAAATGTACAAATGTGCTTGACACAATGGATGGATGTATGGATTGTGATAAGAGTTGTATGAGCCCCCAATAAAATTGTTTAATAAAAAAAAAAAGAATTTCACCCTTTAAAGGCATATTCCTTAGTCGTGTTCCACCCAGTTTTCCAGATAGGGAAGAGACACCAATTCCACGTACTGATAGGATTTGGCGACCCATGTCTTGGAAGAAGTACCGCCAGAATGCTCCTTAGAGGCAAGGATGGCGAGACTTCCTCTCACATACTTGGATATTTTATCAAGAGAGACCAGTCCCTAGAAGGATGCGGTATTTGGTAAAGCGAAAGGCCCTCAGATGGATTGGCACAATGGATGTAACAATGGGCACAAGCAAAAATGATGAGGATGTGGCAGGACCAGGCAGCACTCAGTTTCTTGGTACATGGGGAGCTTATGAGTTGGGACGTAGTGAACAGTGCTTAACAATAATAACATGTCCTCTCTAGGTTAGGATCCTAGGCTCTCTCCGTTAATTAACTTCTGTCAGCTTTCAGTTAGAATCACGGCATTCCCTATGGTCACAATAACATTTTAAATGTTAGAATACTGTTGTTTCTCATGTCCTCTTGCCCGAAGAATAGGGAGGAAAGCAACTCCTCTGACAGAGATTCAGATGGTGGTCCTCTTTCGTAGGCCGGGGTGGGGATAAAAAGCATGATGCTTATTGTGAAATTGTCTGAGGGTTTTTACTGATGCAGTTTCCTATGTGGTACTAATTTTTCTTTTCCTCTTTTCAGTCTGCCATCTTCAACTTTCAGAGTCTGTTGACTGTAATCTTGCTGCTTATATGTACCTGTGCTTATATTCGATCCTTGGCACCCAGCGTCCTGGATAGAAATAAAACTGGGTATGTGACTAAATTCAGTTTAGTTCTTGGAAACATTGAGTATAAATTACCATGAAATTAAGTAGATAACGTATTTCTTATATGTCACTTGGATTTGTAATGAGTTTTTACATTATTTTCTTCCTGTTTTAAAAATATACAACCTTTATATAAGGATGTACATTTACTAAGTTAGAAAATAAATTTCTAAAGTGACTTGAAATGTGTTAGACTGGGAAAAATAATAGTACTTGATGTGATTGAACTAAGGAATGATGTGATATCCATATTAACTCCCAATGATATGGTTTTGGGAAAGAAAAAAATCTGACAATTGTTACTGGAACTAACGATGATACTATTTAGTACTTTTCTGGGGGGTTTTTTGTTGTTGTTGTGTTTTGTTATGCTTTAGGGTTTTTTTAGTTTAGTACTTTTAAAGACATTGGCCTTAGTTTTTATAGAATCCTCAATAAATTGATCATCAAATTTTGAAAGCATTAAACTACTTGCAAGCACTGTGTCCATTTATAACATCTACAAATAAAATTAATATGTAGGCTTCCCTGCCCTCAGATGTTAAGTCTGTATCTTAAACTAAAAATCTTTGGAGAAATTAATTTCATTTACTTTGTACACTAATAAATGTTAAAGTTTTAGACGTGCCTTATACCTTCCATTTCCACTTTAACGTCATGAAACACTTAAGCTTAATATGACTCTTCTCACAAAAAATGTTAAAATTGGTCAGAGGCTTTTTTTTTTTTTTTTAGTGTCTATGTTCACAACTCAAAAGGCATTCGGTTGAATTCAGCCAAAGAGAAGAACATAATTAAAAGAAATCATTTAAAAACTTGAACGGCTTTTTTTTTTTCATTAATTTTTCATGGAAAATAATGGCAAAAGTAGGATCCTTCAAGGTTCAACTGTATTTTTCCACTAATATAAAACTTTTAGAAAGCCAGCACTATATAACCATGTATGTAATTTGACTTTCACCCTATCTTTGAGGACCTAATTAGCATTTGATTCCCAAACAGGTCAACCTCAATCTAAATCATTTGGCCCTGATAACCATCCCTTGTTATTTCCTAGGGTTGTGCAGATATATACATGAATGAATAGAACCTGCGACCAATTCTGATTATTGAAAATCAAGAATTCTATCATAACTAAATCGATAGCCCAATTCTAAAGGTTTTATTTAGCCTGATAAAAGTGGAAATAGATCTTAATTTTCAATTTTTAGCAGTGTTCCACATTTTCTATAGACTTTTTTCCTTTTCTTCATTCCTTACCTTTTTCTCTGAATTCTACCTGTACTTAGTCTTCGGTACTGCACCTAATGCTCATTCATTTGTTAAGACAGACCACCTCATCTGTGATTTAGTTGTTCATGCCTTTCGACCCCACCAGTCAGTTTCATTTCCTCTATTAATATAGTAGGACCGTCCTCTCCTTGAACAGTTGCTTAGAATTCAAATATAATGCCTTTTATGTACTTAATAAAATTTATTAAAGAATAACCAGTAGTAAAATAAAATGTTTTTCTTTTTCTGACACTGTTATGAATTTTTTCTTTCAAAGGAGTATAAGCTGCATGTGGAAATATCTGCTCCTCATTCCGTTAGGAGCAGGATGACTTCCATAACATGCTACATTAATAAAGGAGTTCTCAGGGCTACCAACCTTACAGTAGAGGTTGAGTAGTAGTATATTTCTCTTACACAAGAAACAAAATAATAGCATGTCTACCTTTACTTCCTCTTCTCCCCTCTGTTGAAAATATCAAAGCATGTTTCCATATAACAGTTTCTTCACAGACTGTTCAGCGACACTGGTTACAGTCTTCATGCTGTATCAAGATTCTTGACAGTTCTACTCTAGGTCTTGTATCCCCATTAATATAGGCTCGTCTATGCTTTAGAATTACTGTTACTGCTTTCGTCTCACATATAAATTGTACTTTAAGCTATGTATTTAAGGATAATATCATTGCATTAAACGGTGTATCTCTTCAATATTTTTAACCTTTTTGAAGTATGTACAGATGCAGTCAACTGTTGGAAAGCCTTTTATTTCTGTTTCTATTTTAATGAGTGTTGACTTGGAATCAAATCAACAGCAGCGCAGTTTTTTATTTGATTTGTACATTAATAGTTTCTGTGGAAGGTTTTGTAGGCCATGCCCTTTTAATTTTTACATATTTTATGAGCCTCATAATAAAAATGTCCTGTGATTACAGAGAGCATATTCCATGCTTAGGTGGACATGTCTAGACAGATTGGATGACATGAGTCCTTGATGACTTCATTTTAAAAAATAACAACTCAGTTATTTGTCGGTTCACATAACTACTTTGTCATGTGTCCTGCGCTCATAACCCTATTTGCATTTCAGTAAATATAATTGTTGGTTTCTAGTCATAAAATCCAAGCAGCAAAGTTGTATTTGCCAATTAACAACTCTAGTTTTCACTAAGTAGCATTTGGGGTATTAGAGAGGAATGTGTAGAAAAGCATGGAAAGCACTGGGGTACTGCCAAGTCTTTTTTAAGTTGCTGAGTATAAGGATGCTCCCCCTCCCTACTTTGCACGAGCCCTGCTGGTGCTGTTGTTGACGCTGATAACCACAGAGTCACCTGTCAAGCCCACCAGGCTCTCCAGCTGAGATAGACCAGGTGGTCTGCTGCTGGGTAGGTTCGCTTTTAGCATGTTTCGACTTTGTGATAGTGTGTTATTAAAGTCCATTCAGGACTCAGAATCAAGAAATCAAGTCATCAGAAATGGAAAGTGCTTCCAAAAGTGTGTAGGAAAATGGAATTAAAGTATAATGGCTTTTTCCACAAATATTTTGAAACCTGTGTTGTCCCTTTTTTAAAAAATGTATTATTAATTGGGAGTTCATACATACATCATTCCATAGTTCAATCATGTCAAGCAGAACTGTGTGCAGTGGCTACCACAGTCACCTTACAAACATTCTTTTCTTTCTGGGCTCCTTGACATCGTCGCCCTTTTCCCCACGAAACCCTTATTCTACTTGCTGTCCCTGCAGGTTCATCAACCCCGGGTTCTTCTTTGGTATGAAGTATTTGTGTATATTTACACAGATGTTAATTTAAGTGGAGTTATGGTCACATATGCCTTTAGTCTGTGTGTTACTAAAAACAATATACCAGTCATTTTTTTGTAAGGACTTTTGTTTGCAACAACTCAATCTAATTCCTGTAACAACCCTCCAAGGTGGATGCTTTTACAGTCTTTCACAGGTTAGAACTGAGGCAACTTGATGTACAATGACTGTGCTTTGCACTTGGCCGTTTGCCTTCCTGCGTCTCTTCATGCTTGCTCGTCCTACTTTCAGGAATGTATGGGGGGGGGAAAGAAAGAAAGAAAGGAATGTATGGCCTCGTCCTTTTACTCCAAGAGAAAATTGTATTATGTGACAGAAAAATTTGTATTTAACCTGTACTGAGATTTTTTTTTAATTTGAAGTTACGCTGTGAGGAGAAACATATATAGAATTCAATTAAACCAATGATTTATTTCAGTCTTAACCATTGATGTACAATGACTCATTAACCAGTCATCTCAATGGGAACAAAAGTAAATATACAAATTTCCCTGTAATATAATTATTGTGGTTTTTGTTGAGCCAGTCCAGCTTTGTTGTAAAAACCAGTGGTATGGATGTGATGTTGCATAATGTCAACTTTGTAGCCCTGTAATACAGCATTTGTAATCACTTGTTGGTCAGGCCAACCAAATAATGGCTACAATGTTTTAAATTTTTCTTGTATCTCTAGTTAAGTGGCTCCATTGGTGTTTGTTGTTTTTTTTTTTTAAGCATCTGGTGTGTTTCTACATGACAGATAAGTGATATTACCCATAGGTTCCTTCCGACTCTTAAGTCCAACTACCCCATGCACAAGAGAATGAAATTCTATCTGGTCCTCCCATCCTCACAGTCATACCTGTTCCAGCCCGTTGTTCAACCACTGTGCCAGTCCATTTCTTGAACTTCTGCTGTTTCACTGCCTACTTTTCCAAGCATGGTATATTCTTCTTAGAACATACCTAGAGTATGTAAGATAGTCTGACCAACCTAGCTTCTAAGGATCATTGTGGCTGAATTTCTTCCAGGAAAAATTTCTGTTCTCTTCAGGCAACCCGTGGTATATTGAGTATTCTTCGCCTGCATCAATTCTTCTTTGATCTTCCTTGTTCATTGTCTAACTACCACAAGTATATGAGACAATGAAAAGTATTATGGTTTAGGTCAAATGTACTTTAGTCCACAAAGTCACATCTTTGCCATTTAGCACTTTAAAGAGGTCTTTAAAAGTAACACATTTGATTTCTTGACTACTGTTTCTGTGTTAGTAGATTTATATAAAATGAAATCCTAGCCAATATCAGTCTTCTCTCCATTTATTATACTGTATCATATTAGTCCAATTGTGAGAATTCTTATTATTTTTTATATTGAGGTGTGATCTGTAGTGTCAGGTCTGGAAATGCTTCAAGCCCTCGTTGCTTTCAGAAAACAAGGTTGTCATCTATATATACCACATTTATTCCAATATATATATATATATATATATATATATATATATAATCTCACAGATTGTTAATGAACGCCCAAATTATTTGTTCGGTATACAGATTGAATCAGTATGGTGAAAAGATAACAGTTCCTGATGTATATCTTTCCAGATTAAAAGCCATGCAATATTCCCTTGTCCTGTGTGAACTTCTGTTCTTGGTCCATAGACAGGTTCCATCTGAGCACAATGAAGTGTTCTGGAATTCCCATTCTTAATGTTAGCCATAATTTGCTATGATACACTCAGGCAGCTGCCTTTGCTTTAATTGTTGGCATTTTATTGGGTGACCTTTTCTTGGAAATGGACACAAATACAGACCTCCTTACTGATGGCCTAGGTAGCATATCTTCCATGTTTCTGGGCATAGACAAGTGAACACTCCCAGTGTTCATTCCGTTTACTTACACATCTCAACTGCTATTTGATTCGCTCCTGGAACTTTGTTTGTCACCAAATGCCTACCTTACACCTTGGACTTTCTTTCCTTCACAACTGTTCCTTGATAATGCAGCTTCCTAAAATGAGTGAATGCAACCAGCTTACAACGGTCTTTCTTCCATCTTCTTGTAATCAATGATTCCTTAGTTTTATCCATAGATCCCTTCAGTATTTTAACCAGAAGCTCTAATTGTTCATCAATGTGTATAAATCCATTGAATTTGGAACTCTAGGTCTTTGCACATTTTCATTATATTTCATTTTGTCCTCTTGCGCTTTTATTTCACTATTAATTTCTTTGTGTGTGTGTGTGTGTGTGTAAATAAATTACTATATAGTATCCCTAAACTTGGAAATTTTCTAATTATATTGAGTAGATAACCTCTAACCACCCACCCCTCCTTTTTTTGAATAAAGGAGCTCTTGTGGAGTAGTGGTCTATGCATTGAGCTGTCAATCATAAGGTCAGCAGTTCAAACCCACAAGTTACTATTCAGGAGATAGATGAGGCTTTCTGTTCCTATAAAAACTCACAACCTTGAAATGGGGCAGCTTACTCTTCTGTAGAGACATAAGTTGGAATTCAGTCAATGGTAGTGAGATTTTTGAATAGCACAGTTATATAAAAAGATAACATTGGAAGTTGTAGTTACAGATTATATAAGTATGAGGCTACCGTTTGTACAATTAACACTGAGGAGTTTTATTACTTTAGTATCAAATTCTATCAAAAAGCTTTGTTCATTTTTCACCATTGATGTCCGTAAATTGACATAGAAGGATTTTTGTTTTGTTTTTCCTTTTCAAAAAGTACAGGAAGTGGACACAATTATTCCTACCAAAGCAATTTACCCTGGATTTGAAGTATAATACCACATTTATTCCAGTTTATATCAGGTTTTATACATTGGTTGGTGTGCCATTAAGCAGCAGCAAAAACAAACTAGCTGACATCAAGTCGATTGTTACTCACAGCACTCTTCTAGGACAGAGTAGAACTGCCCATGTGGGTGTCCAAAACTGAATCTTTATAGGAGTAGAAAGCCGCATTTTTCTTCCATGAAGCAGCTGGTGAATTGTGGACTACTTTTTTGGATAGCAGCTCAACACATAACCCACTATACCTCAGTGTTCCTTTGATATGTTATTAGATCCTGTTTTTATAGATTAATGGTGACAACATTAAACAAGAGAACTTAAATCTGAAAGAAAACATGAGAGGTCAGAATGCCAGTATATCATCAATTCTTCCCATACCATTATAGAAAATAATGATCCAGAGGGAATTATTTACCTTCCCTAATAATCAAGAACTACTTTTTCTTTTTTATTCTATACAGACTATTGGGTATATTTTGGAAGTGTGCCAGAATTGGTAAGTGTTCATAATCACCCACCTCTTTTTTAACTGCCAATGTTGTTAACCAATTTTACATCACGCACATTATCAATTTTAAAAGTACGAGTTTCCTCATCTTATGCTTTTTTCTGCCTGCAAAGTTTGCAAATTTCTACTTTGCTCTTTTTCTTTTGTTGCTTACAACTGAATTTGGGGACTACCTCAAATGCTTTATTAACAAGGAAATAGAAAATACAGAAGGAAGTGTCTCCAATTCAGATATCAAATATCATGCATCCTTGGTATTTGAGAGAATTCTGAGCAACTGTGTGCAATTTGTGTGTATGTTCATAATACAGAGGTAGCTTGTTAATATATATCATTTTGATACTTGAGAATGAATTTCCTCCAGAAAAATTCTAGAATTTCTAAGGCTATCTAAGCAACCATCTAGACATAGTCATTTGGCCTTTTGTTAAGCTATGGACTATTATTTATTTCTCATAAATGGTAACTATGTTGTTTATTCAACCTCCTGTGTTTATATGTTAGTTTTGTCATAATTGATTAAATTTAAGGTCAACATCATTAGCTTTTAACTTTTCATAACAAGATTTAAGATAAATACAGATATGTCTTAGCACATAATACATGCTCAAATTAAAGGTAAGTAAAAGAATTAAGATCTATTTTATTGGTGTTAGTGAATAATATTCTTGACTAATCATTTTCCATTTTTAAAAATATGCCTAGTCCCAAAAGAAAACTAGTTTCAAAGCATTAACAACTTAGACTAGTTGGACTGATAACAAATATTTCTTGTCCATGGGAAATAATTTTTATTTAAACAAATGTTTGATTTTAGTATTTTTCATCTAATGTTAAGTTTATATATTGCTATGTTTTCAAGAAGCTATAACAGGAAATTGGATTAGAGACTGAAAATACAAACTCAGTTCTCATAATACTGAGACATTTTTATAAGGAGTATGTGGGAATTGATTTGTTATACTTGAACATAGTTACAGAAGATCAAAAAAGGAGTTTCAAATCTTAAAAACATCTTCCAAGGTCTATGTGTTGTTAGCCATGAAAATAGTCTTGACAGCTATTTTTTTCTTTTGAACCTTATTATAATAGATGAGACACCCACAAACAATGGAATTTGTAGGTATGATGCTGAGTTATCCAAAAATCACTTCTCAACTTGTGGTACTTAGATCAGTCGTAAGATTCTTCAATCATTTATGTTTCTTGTTGCACAAAATGGTAATAGTAAAACTGTAAAGGACTTCACCAGAGAATAACCTTTTAAAATAGTGGCCATTGAAACAGACATCTATATATTTTAAATATGTTAAACTGGTTTTTCTGTGGTGTATTCTATCTTTTGGATTGACCAGAAAATTTTTAATATGTAAGAAGTATCACAGACCTTATATTGGTACAGCCATCATAGCACTAATATTAGTGGGTATCAATCGAGACATTTATCAATGTCTGGAGACATTTTTAGTTGTTACCATGGGGTTGGAGGCAGTGTATAGTGGGTAGGACCCAGGATACTGCCAAACATCTGCCAGTTCACAAGACAGTTCCTAGCAACAAAGAATTATCTAACTCAAAATCTCCAGAGTGCTAAAGTTGGGAAACCCTGGCGGAGATTTCCAGGGAGTTGTGGTGCAGGCTTAACTGGCACCTAGTCATGTATAACAGCTGCAAACCGTAATGTAACTAAAGAAATCATAAGTACTCCCAAAAGAACCATGAGAAAAAGCCGATTCCAAGAAAAAAAATCACCTGTGGTGGCTAATGCTAATTGCTACAGATACATGTGAATGTATGTGAACCAAAGTAGGGGCTTCAGAACCTGGTCCTCCTGCAAATGAAAGGCAAGGCCAGGCACAGAGCAGTGGAAGATCTGAGTGAACTGCGAGGTGGGAGCGTAGTGGAAGAGCAGGGCAGTGTGCAGGAACCTACTCTTGGTAAAAATAGGACAAGTCTGCAGTTAAGAGACTACATTTTCATCCCAGGTCTATCATTAAATGTCTAACTCATGACAAAACTAGTTAAGATATTCTTCTGGCCCATTTTGTATCATCAAAGAAATAAATACTGCATTTCATGGACATTTCTGTCAAGTCCACAGTCAACTAGTAACCTTGTGGCTCAGAAATAAGGCTTGAAGAGAGTATAGCTATAAATTTTAAATATATAGGTTGTTAGATTTTTTAAGTGATATTGTGTAATATGCTCTATTTTTTAAAGCCATTTGTAAGGCATGGTTTGGGGTGGTGTCTTGACTTTTTTCCCCCTCAAATGCGCAGCTTAAATAAGTTAGTTAAATGTGTTCATTCTAGCCTATTATGTAGAAGCTTTTAACTTTTCGGTTTGAGAGAATGACTTCGAAAATTGGTGAATGCTCATTATATGCTGTTTTCTCAACTACATGCTCTTATCTTGCTTGACTCAAACTCTCAAAGTAAAGGATATAATTTTAATGGAGAATGAATTCATCTTAAGTTACATATCATATTATAGCAACTGAAGACCAGACAAGTTCAACTGAACCATGTTTAGCTCTACCACATGGCAATCTCTGTTAGGAAATTAAGAACAGGAAAATGAAACCCATATGTAAATTATAACCTTGTAAGTTAGAGGATGAGGAATTGAAGAACTTCCTCAAAATTAATTCTCAACAGATGGAAAATGTTGGACAACATTAATTTCTACTGTTAGATGTTTAATAAGACTATTATACCAGGGAGCTTCAGACAAGTTTATGAAAAATGGAATTGAAAGACTACAGTTTTCCCACGAACTTTCTGAAGCTCCTTGTATAAGGTAATGAGAATAATTCGCCACAGTAAGAATGACATCTACCTGAAAGTTATGTTAGAATGACTAGGGTTTTGTTTGTTTGTTGGGTTTTTTGGTGGGCAGCAAGGGGGCATTGTTTTGTTTTTCTTTGTTTTATTCCAAAAGTATTCCTCACTGCTATTGAGTCTATTTTGACTCTGCCATCCTTTAAGGCAAGGTAGAAGTGCCCCTTAGGGTTTCCAAGAGCCTTAACTTTCTCACTCAGAGCAGCTGATGGTTTCAAACTGCTGACCTTGCAGTTAGCAGCCCAATTCATAATCCACTTTTTAGTTTATGTTTATTTAACAGTTTTATTATTGGCAAGTAATTCACATAGCATATAATTAAATCATTCAATCATATCACAGAGAATTGTACAATCACCCCCACATCAATTTTAGAGCACCCCCCTCCCCCGCATTGTTAATAGCCTTTAAGATAATTTATACAATCTGTTTTAGTGCTTAAGAGCACCCACACACACCCTTGCCTTCATTAGTTACTTCTGAAATCCCCTTTCCTATCTCCCCCTCCCACTCTACTTTTTAGTTTTAAAAGATTTTTTTATCTTGTTGAAATGGTGATACTGAAAAACACTAGTATAAGAACTCAGGCAGTACAGCAATTAAGTGCTTGCTGCTAAGTAAACTCTACCCTCTGTTTAATGGAAGAACAGGTCTGGCAGTCCATTCTCATGAAGATGCTGCCTAGGAAATCCTATGGGGCTGCCCCACTGTGTCATGTAGGTCTGCTGTGAATCAAAAGCAACATGAATGCACGCAACAATTCTCTTACTTTCTAGATTTTGACTTAGCTAGAAGGCCATCCATTAAATATCTACCGAGAAATAAAATACTTTTTGAAAATTGTTATTTGTGTGTGAGAGAAATATCTTATATGACTATTATGTGCAAACAAGAAGGGGTGCTGAGAAGGACCTCTATATTTTTTAGTTGATGAAATTGATCCAAGATTCAAGTTTTCCAAAATTTATTATCAGTCCTTGCTAAGTGGGATAAGGAATTTAAGAACTTTAAAAGAGCTTATTTTAAAACAGCAAAGCCCAAGTGATAAAAGAGCAAACTTCTTGGGAAAACTCAAAAAAAAAACCAAGAAACCATTAGCCCCAGATCAGTACTGGTTCATAGCAGCCCTGTTAGGACAAAGTCGAACTGCCCCTGTGAGCTTCTGAGACTGTTTGGGGTTTGTTTGTTTTTTCTTCTTCTTTAAAGCATTTTACTGGGGGTTCGTACAACTCTTATCACAATCCATCCATCCATCCATTGTGTCAAGCATATTTGTACATTTGTTGCCATCATCATTCTCAAAACATTTTCTTTCTACTTGAGCCCTTAGTATCAGCTCCTCATTTTTTCTCCTCCCTCCCTGCCCCCACTCCCTCACGAACCCTTGATAATTTACACATTATTATTTTTCATTGTCTTACACTGTCTGACATCCTGAGACTTTTTTATGAGAGTAGAAAGCCCCAAAGAGCAGCTGGGGGGTTAAAACTGTCCACTATGTAGAGCACATCTGAACGCATAACCACTACACCACTGGACCACTATGCCAAGATGACTACATCACTTTTATTTCCTCCTCATCCTCTTCCTTTCTTCCTCTGCCACCCGCGAGGCAAGGAAGCATAAAGATGTCTGGTGCTTGCAGTTACCGAAGAAAGAGATAAGAATGGAATGGATTAGCTCCCAATTGTATGTCTGTTTACATGACAATTTCACAAACCAATTTCAGATCTAATTCATCTGGAAGAAAGTCCCTTGGCTCAGAATTAATTGGTAGAAATTCTACATTTCTAACCTAGAATTAATCACTTTATAAAAGATTTGAGAAGAAATCCATCTCATTGTTTTCTAATGTTTATTAACCAGTTTGTTTTACACCTGTTTTTTAGTAACATCTTATTAACCATCATGCTTTTGTCATCTATGAGTGCTTCATTTTCTCTTTAAATGTCAGGAGTCAATGAGGGGGAGAAAATGTGGCCAAAAATTGGGTATTTATTCTACGTGGAAGTGTACTTTCTTCCGTGAAGAAAATCAACCAAGTGTTTTTCTTGGACCTCTGTCCTACATTCAGCTTTTTGAACACTATTTTAAAAAAACCAAACCCTGAGATTATACAGTGGCACAGGAATGGCACTTCAAGGGTTGAAACGCACAGACTTAGAACTAAAGCAAACCAACACAGTTTAGCTCAGTTTCTGTTGTATATGTAGTTCTGTTTATGTCTTGCTTTCCCCAAGCCCTTCAAATGTATGTACCTCAAAGAAGGAACTTTGTCTTAAGTTTGATCTGCCTTTTCCTCATAGCAAGTAATATCTTATGCCCATTTTAACCACTAAGTTAATAAAGAAGAATGTCTTATCTTTTTCAACAGGTGAGCGGAAGAGTCCTTATGTCGCAGCATGTTGTATTGTGATGGCATTCAGCATCCTGTTCACACAGTAGCTTGGAACAGTGCCAGAAATTAATCACCATCAGATTTCAATATGAAAAAGGACTTACCTACAGAAAATAATGGGAAGAATGGTTAACCTTTTTCATCTCTGAACATTGAGGGAGATATATTTCCAGCGGCTGCTCTCCATTTCTATGGTATTGGACCAATGTTCTATATAAATATGATGTAACCATTTTGTACTCAAGAGTTTAATATGTCTCTAACAATCCATCTCAGTATTGACACTACAATATTACATTCTGCAATGTCATTCTGTTCTGTTCAATACCAATTTTTTGTGAGATATCTATCTCTAAGGCAACTAGTAAACAAAATTGGTCAGTTGTACTAAATTCTTTTCACTGTGATCTAGAAATGATGTCTTTATAGAGTCTTGAGACCTTTTGGACTAGCTTTTTTACTGAGAGGAAAACTTGTTCCACAAGTGTTGGTCATGATTGCTTTCATGGTTAATCATGCTTGCTGCTCTTCTGCTGCTGACCCCATTGTGGATGCACGTGAGCCAGAGTACCTCTACTCTCAGCAAACTCTAGTTTACTACTGTTTCTGACGCTTTCAAAGACTATGCATTTCTTGAGGGACATAAACAAGGTGTGACTTCAGAGTTTTAGGATAGTGTTCTTGTTTCGAAGAAGTTTAGGTTAACTGGTATAGTAGCCACTGAAATTTCTGGTTTAGTACAGATAAACAAAGGTCTGAAGTATAAATTTGACCAGCTCACTATCTCCAAAAAAGACCCTTTTTTAGAATAAAATAGAAGAATTATAGAATAATGATCCCATATGTGTTTTTCATTCTTTTTTGTTTGACCTTTCAAAAATGAAAGAATTTTAATTGCCCCAAAATACAATCTGTATTTTTGTTTTCTGTTTTAAATACAGCACTTTAAATCTAGCTTACATTTTCGGTCCTTTTGAACTGGAATCTCATGGTTATTTACTTCTGTATGTAGTAGATGCTGAGAAAAAAATGTTCAAATATACTTATCCATACGACTTGACATAAATGTCTTTGATTTTTAATAACGAAAGTAGGTTTTAAGTAATTTTCAGTGTAGGTAAGAGAAATATTGGGCATGGAGCCCCGCATCTGTGTGAGAGGGCACCATCAGGACAATTCCATACCAGTGCCTGAGGGTCAGCCACTTGAATAGGACATGGAGAACAAAAGATCAGGCACAAAACCATGATGGGTTGCAGATCAGAATACCACAGTTGCAGGTGGGATGAGAGAATTGGAAAGTGGCCGTGATTGGTATACATACAAAAGCTTAAGCTTCAACCAAGGTATTTAGGAAGTGATTCAGCCATGGTGGTGCCGTTCCATCCAGTTGGCTCCAATTCATAACGTGCCCTACCTACAACAGAACAAAACCCGTCTCGGTCCTGAGCCGTCCTCATAATCCGTTCTTAGGCTTGAGCCCATGGTTGCAACTACCATGTCAAGGTCGTGGGAAAATTCCCGTTTCCCCCACGTTTCTTCCAACTTCTTGGTGCCTCTTGTGTTTTGTTGTTTTTAAAGAGCTGAATAGACTGATGTTGTGTTGGTTTATTTTATGTTTTTTGACCTGTTTTGAGTGGTTAAAAGTAGTAAGTATTTTTGTTTTCAACAGAAACCAGGTTTTGATGATTGTTTCTACTCTGAAGTGCCTCTTGGGTCAAGTTTTTCAAGGTACTCTAACAATAGGAGTCTGTCATCAGCATATGTATGCAGAGTACGTCATCTTTCTGGGTAGCAATCTGGTATCTGACCTTGGCTCAACTGGACTTTCCAGAATATTTTGTCAACTGTGGTAGATGCTGGTGCAAATCTAGGAAGACAAAGGACCAACTTTCTAAATCAGTAGCATGACGTTATGGATGAAGTAGGTGGAAACATGAGGCAGAAATGGCTTCTCTGGAAACTGGTAAAGTAGAAAACATTTTGCTGTGTGTCAACAGTGGGAAGTAGCTTATTTCCAACCCCAACTATGACCTTTTGAAGCACAAACTCTGAGAAATGGGAAAAGACACAAGGATTTCTGAAGAAAAGCAATTAACATTCTCTTTAATGTGTTTACTTCAGAGTTACCACTGAATCCTCTTCCGTCAGCCAAAGGACAGTATGTAGGTAGCTTTAACCCCACAGAATATTCAGATACAAAGGATTAGAGATCCACTTTAGCCCCAATTGCCAGCCTCAGTCACAGAACCCTGTTGCAGGGCTAAGTGCCGAATGATGCATTAAAAGAGTGAGGGAGGGGGTTTGAATCCAATGTCTTGTGCTTCTATACAAGGCTCTGTCTTCCATGTTCTTACATTCACATTTGGCATGGCCCTATCATGCTAAGGAGAACTTACAAGAAACACATTCATCTCAGTAATAGGTAGATTACTTACTTACTCTTATTTGATTTTAAAACATGAAAACATTTGACTGAAGTTGTTTCTTCAAAATGAAAGTTAGAAAATGATAAAGTCTCTAGTTTTTCAAAAAGACAACCATATTAACAATAAACTATTAAAAGAGCAAAGAAGGCATTTATACAAAGTGCATTGGGATAGCATTTTTTATTTTGATAAGCCCACAGTTCTGGCAGATATCGAAGAAGAATTAGCAATCCAATCAAATAAGTGAACTTCTCAACAGGGAAACAATACTTTCATTCAACTGGGGTGGGGTAGGGGGTGGGGACAGTAATTGGGAAAAGAAGGAAATATTTAAAACATGTAGCCATGTGTAAAAGTGGTGCTTCAAGAGCAAAGCATTTGCTACTTATTTAGAGACAAACTTCAAAAATTGGATTGAGGTGGACCTTCCAGGGTCTTGTGTTTGTCTCACTGCATTACTTTAAAATTGAAGTTAATAAGTAGTCCTTGCCGGCCTGACTCAGAACTTAAGGGAAAAACTAAAACCTCCCTTTGTATGTGTGGATAAATAAAGTTGAGTATCTGCAGACCCACCCGATTGAGACCAGGAATACAAATGTACACTTGAAATCCATTGGTATGGGTATGTAACACAGATAACTAGCCAGTCGATGGTTAGGAAAACTATATTTTCTAGATACCAAAAGCACCCACTCAGCTTCCCCCAAAGTAGTCACTATGCTGTCTACTTTTCCTGGCTGTGCACACACAAAACCCATGCCATTAAGTATGGATTTGTGCTCCTGTGAAAGCCCCTCGGACACTGCCAGACCTTAAGAAACTGAAAACAATGAAAGGTTCTTGTTTACCACATTTCACATTTGGTCTCCACTAACGATGCAAGTTCAAAATGCAACTCGCTGACTAATGCCAGCGTTATTAATACTGCCCAGCCCCGTTACTCTCAATCAGCAGATCTGGCTTCCGAGAAAGAGCTGCTTAATGCTGTCATTTTAACACTGCTATTCAGTTTCTTTTCCCTTACCCTATGGTAATTGCACAGTAGGATCTGAAAATCCACTCTTAATATCAGCTAAAAAGGAGGAACATGAAACTAAGTTTCCTATGATCTCTTCAGTGTGGTGAATCATCGTAATCTGACTAGTGCACATCTATAGTCTGTAATAAAGGTCAAAATGAACTCAGCCTCCTGTTTTGTTTTATTGAAAATGAGTAAAAGCTCTTTTAGAAGTTAAAAAATTGAAATTGCCACC